TATATATATATAGATATATCTGTGTGGCTATTAGTCATCAAACCACTATAAATATTTAAAGACACCAGAGGGATCATACAAACAACTCAGGGATTGCATGTACCTATATCTGCAAATTACTTCAAGGTTAAGCATGTTGTCTTATCAATTTTTTTCTTTAGCACTCTTAACTTGTTACTTTTTGCTGCTGTATAATACAGCATTGATTTTCAATTTGTGGTCCACAGATCATTGGGAGGGCTGCAATGTTGCCACAGGGTGTCCACAAAGGCTTGAAAAAATGTTATGATTTAAATTTTGAGTTAGGTCTTGGGAATCAATGGACATAGTCCATGGCCACAAAAAGTATTTAAAGTGGGTCCATAGTGAAGGAAATATTGAGAACCACTGTAATAGAGCAAAATTAAGGCATTTTGCTACTGAAATCACCAGTGTGTTCAATCCCAAAGTCTAGGTGTAGAGGTTTGGATAAAGTATTTTGCTTTTCTGAGGAAGAAAATCTCACAACAAAACTAAAATATCCTATTAGCTTTTCCTCAGACCCCCATTAATAATCAGTCAAATTTTATCTTTTCAATGCCAAAGCAAAATTCTCTTGCTTAAAAAAAAAAAAAAAAAACACTTTTCTCAGTCTTTTTTTAAATGCAGGCAAGCATTCATTGAATTTTTAAACCTGATTTTTTTCTCTCTTATTGGATTATCATTACCTCTCTTTAATTTTTACTGTTGCTATCTTTTTATGTAATATCAGCTCTCCAAATAGCATATTGCAAAATGAAATTTGTGTTTAATCAGTCAATTTTCAAAAGATACAGGATGTGATAAAATTATCACCAACTCACAGATAAACTTGCATCAGGTTGTTGTGATCAGTTTGCATCTTTCATGGTATCTATAAAAGCATTTTTAAAATGGATTCCATCCATAAAAAGACTCACATGAAATCCATAAAAAGACTCACATAAAAAGATTTACATGAAAAGGGAAAATTAAATTACACAAATCATATCTGAATGCTGCTTAAAACAAGCAGTAGAACTCATATCATCAATTTAAGACAATTTAAAAGGCAGCTGCAACAATTTAGAGCTTGCCCATAAATGTTACAGGTGATGAAACAAATAGTTTTTAATTTAAGATTGTGGATCTACTTATGATGGTTTCCAGATATTAGCTGTATAGTAGGTTGTGGGTAAATATTAAGAGGAACACCTGTAATTTTGTATATATTGAAGCAGTATTCTTCTGATTATAAAACATTTTCATATATTTACATAGTAGTAAGTACAATTAGAAAGGGGAATAGCAAACAACCTTCATCCTGATCAGCTTAGGAATTGATATCAAACTATTGTCACTTATCACCTTCAAGACAGTGATTTGTACTTCTTTGATAAGTGAGGCTCTGGATTTCTGCCTTATTTTCTGTTTCAGATATTGCCCTGGGTAGCAAATGTTATCCTTAGCTTTAAAGCCATTACTACAGTGGGCACCAAGTTCATTGATTAAGATCATCCACAAGGGATTAGCTTGCAAAGGAAACATTTGGGCCCTAGGTAACTGTATGGAAAATCAGGTGCCCCATGAAAATTAAAAAATGAATCTTCACTCTTGGTTCTCCATTCATTGCTTTGTACATGGGTGAATTTATCTTTACATTCGTGGTTTTACAATCAGGAAGATTGTGATCAACCAAGAGTGCAAATTATGTGTGCATGATAATTTGACAGCTGTGGATGGTTGTTTCTAAGTTCTTACGGCCAATTCAAACAAACAAACAAATAAATAAATATTTAAAACAGGAAAACCATTTTGTTGAGAATAAATGAATTAGAATTTTATCCTCATGATCAGATCAACATTTATGACTTTCTTAAAATGTTTATCTTTTTGATTTTGCTTTCTGCTGATATATGCAATGACATACAGATGTGCTGGGATTATATTTCCCAGCTATTTTAACTGGAATGATAGATCACAGGGCATGTCAACCAGAATAGGAGAAGGCTATGTTAATGACTATCCTATGTAAACCTTATTCAAATGTCTTTTTTGCCATTTTCATTCATTTTCTCACTTCTCCTGAATGTACCATGGCTTGCTATTATTAGTTCTAAAATAGCTTCAAACTCTTGAAAGTAAGAGTTAGACAAGCAAATGAATTAATAATTTCGCATTTGAGAAATAAAGAGAGAGATTTCTTCCAATACATACCTTCTATGATTCTGGAAGAATTTTTGCTAGATTAAAAAATAGAGAACTGAGCGACTGCTTTACCATTTCCAATTAATTGGCAAATTCATCTCCAGACATGATGCAGTGTTTCTAAAAATAAACATTGTCTCTTGTTTTGGTTTATAAAGTTGATAACATATTTCCTAGTCAGCCTTTTTCACAGTTTATTGCAAGAAATAGCTACCCATTCCTGCAAGCTATTTTAGTAAAATCTATACATTATCTGAGTTCCTATCTCCTTGATGTATTCTTCAAGATTGCAAGTGGAGCAGGATGAAAGAGCTCAGAAAGATTTGGCTTCAAGACTTGTCTTGGAACAAAAGCACAGGAGAAAAATAGTGATCTTCTCTAAGGTGGCTGAGGCCTTATTAAGCTTGAGGAGAGGGGGCTATCAAGAAGAATGAAAATATTTGCATAGCCAGAAGACAATATCTTGACAAATAAGCAGATATTTTTCTCCAGGACCTAACATTCAACAATGTACTCCAGAATGAGTTCTTAAATAAGTAAACTTCTAAAAGCAAATGAGAGACATATGTGCTGCCCAGAAGCATTCATGGAAATGTTTTGATCCTAGAGAATAGTGCTTCGCTTTGCAGCATATCAATTTCCCATCTATCTATTTTTGATTCAAAAAGTTTCTAAAAAAAATTGTGGGTCAAACAGGGGATAAGAGGTTTATTGAATAGTCATAAGACCTTATCAGTAACGTAACATAAATATATAACAAGACAAAATACAGATAAGTTAGATATATAAGAATACAGTAATAAAAACATATGTAGAAAACCAGGGAGTCAAAAATCTGATAATAGATCACCCTTGCAGGATACACCAATTTGTTTCTGGATATCTTTGTGTTGTCCTTTTATCCCAACTATAAATAGCTCTTACAGTCACTTGCTTTGCTGCTCTGGTTTATCCTCTGCACAATCCATGTTAACATTTTTGGGTGGAAGGTTTTTTCATAAATCATTCTGCATTTTGAGCTGTATGAGGTGGTGATGTTGGGACACCCAGAGGGGCTGAAGAGCTAGCGCTGTTCTTCACCCCTCTTTTCTGGTGCTGGAGCGATCCCAAAGGGATACACGAAGCCTGAAGGGAAGCATGTTGGAGTGAGGATACTCAAGGAGCAGTCTGGTGATACGTGATCATCAGCGTGATGGAGAGAAACCCCATTGAGCCCAGCAACCGAGATGCTGGCATACTCAGGATGGTGGCTCCGAAGTCCTAACAGCCAGCAAAAAGGGGAAGCGAGATCGAATGACAGCCTGTGGAGAGTATAGTGCAAAGAATTTACATTATAGAATATTAAAAAGAAAGGAGGTTCGTGCTGTATCGGAGAAAAGAGATCTATTGTAACCCGAGAAGGTGACGAGAAAGCAGAGGTGAGAATGAGCGGAGAGTGACTGGGAACAATAGACAGCCGGGGAGGCAGGACACTTTAACGAACAGATCAAGATAGTGATCCGGGATACCTTCTGAATACTAAGTTTTAAACTTTGGAAACCTTTGGAAATTCTAACTGTTGAAAAACTGTAAAGTGAGAGTTTTACACAAGTTACTTGGCTGTGAACATTGCTCCTTGCTGAGGATTGACAGACTTGCTGAAGCAATGGAATTGGAGAATGTCCATAGTGAACAGCATTACTCAACAATCTGATAGTACAACATAGTACAACATAGAAGATGGAATTGGGGGGAAATTTTGAGAGACTGAGGTACTAAGAAGAATTGGATAAATTGATAATTTTTACTCCTTTTGAACCTTAAAATTTTTGAACTGGTGAATCTTCTAATTGAACATTGGGTGATTGTTTTCTCTTTTTCTTTCCCTTCTACTGGATACAATAACTGGAAATGCTTCCTGGAAATTATTAATTATACAATCAATTGGTACTTAAACTCAGATATAATACAACATTTATATGTTAGATTCAGATTTAAATTATAATTAACAAGCAGAGTTTAGTGGAATTAAGTTGGAGCTACTATTATTTAATTCATTTTATATATAGCTAATTAAGATAATTAATTAATTCTGTACATTTATTGTAACATATTGAATGATTGAAAGTTTTAGGCAATTTGTACTTATAGTTATATACTTATATTTAATAGTTTAATTAAATTCTTCTCTTTATATTCTGTATATATATCAACATAGAATTTAGATTTTCTGATGTTTATCATAATACTTATATTTACAATTTAAACTGTAAGTTATACCTATAATGATGCTTATATATTTACATATTTAAAAAGAGTTTTATATAGAAAAATATATGGTTAGATATATTGACTTTTTATTTAGATATTTATCTTGCAAACATAGAATATAATTGTGAATTCTGCACATTAGGTTGAACATTAGGTGATTGAACATTGAACATTAGGTGATTATTTTCTCTTCTTCTTTCCCTTCTATTGGATACAATAACCAGAAGGCTTGCTGGAAAGTATTAATTATTAAGTATAAAACTAATTGGTATTTAAACTCAGATATATTATAATATATATACTCTAGATTTAGACTTAAACAATAATTAATTCAAGCAGAGTTTAGTGTAATCAATTAGGAACTACTATTACTTAATTTATGTTATAAATGGTTAATCAAGATAAATAATTAATCCTGTATATTTATTTAATGATTGAAAGTTCTAGGTAATTTATACTTACAGTTATATATTGATATTTAATAGTTTAATTAAACTCTTCTCTTTATATTTTGTATTTATATTAATATAGATTCCAATACCCTCAACAACAACAGCTTCACCGAGGATACGAAAAACAATAGAAGAAACACTAATGGCGGAGAAACAAAACACCACTTCAAATGTTAACATTCAAACCTCATTACTTGCACTACAAGAATCAATGGCCAAACTTCAAGAAATGATGGTAAAGAATCACTCAGAAACAAGAGCAGATATTAATGAACTGAAGGAGGAAATGGGAAAGTTAAAAACAGAAATGAGATCAGATTTGTCTAAACTTGATCAAAAGGTAGGGTCAATTCAACATGCATTGGAAAGAAACAAACACACAATAAAGGAAGTAGAGAAAAGAACCGAACAAACTGAGAAAAAGTTAGAAACGGTAGACCAGGGGTGTCAAACTCAAATTCATCGGGGGCCGCATCAGCAGTTTGGTCCCCATCAAAGGGCCGGTTGTATCTGTAGGTCTATGTGTCCACTCTTTATTATCATAAATTAATGTCACTGCATTCAATTATTACTGTTTTTTGTAATAATGTAAGTAATAACTAGCTCTGAAAGCAGAAACATAGTCAGAATAATGACAAGTAGATATTCAAATGTACAATTATTGTACAATGTATTGAAAAATGTTTTTTGGTAACAAACATTAATTTTTTTTTAAACATACAAATATTGCCAAACACTGTTTATTAAACATATGGAAAACACAAGGCATTACCTTTTTTTTAACTTTTATAGTGCCCAGCCATGTGCCCCCTTTTAAAGTGCCCAGCCATGTGCCCCCTTTTAAAGTGCCCAGCCATCTGCCCCCTTTTATAGTGCCCAGCCATCTGCCCCCTTTTATAGTGCCCAGCCATCTGCCCCTCCATTTACTTTACTTACCTTTTACTTCTTTCTTTCTTTTACTTCTTTCTTCTTGCTCCTCTCCGCGGCGTCCACGCGCTCCTCTGATCCCTGGAGATGTCGGGCGGACGTCACGTGATGACGTCACGTCCGACACCCAGGGAGCAGTGCGGGGCAGGAAGAAGTCGGGCCAGGTCCCGGAAGGTAAGTACATTTTTTTTTTAACTTGAGCCATTTTTAAAATGAATTTACTCCGTGCAGGCACGGAGTAAATTCATTGAAAAAAAAAAGGGGGAGGCTGCAAGGCTGGCGGCGGCACCGCGGGCCATCAGACGAGGTCTGGCGGGCCGGATTTGGCCCGCGGGCCTTGTGTTTGACACCCCTGCGGTAGACCAACAAATAAAAACAGTGAGTAAAGAGATGGAGGATTCCCTCATTTATATTGAAATGGACAAAGCTGCGTCGTACCTTAGATTTCAAAATATACTGGAAACTAAAGACGAGGACCTTGAGCTAGCGATGGCAGAAATTTTAGCTAAAGCTCTAGATAGAGACAAGGAGAAAATGCTAAAGGAAATGGACGACGTATACAGGGTCAGCACGAGTTATGCAAGGAGAAACAAACTTCCCAAAGAGGTCCATATTCGATTCACGAGGAGAAAAGTTAGGGACATAATTTATAAGATATCTAGAGAAGAAGCTATAGTATACAAAGGAAAGGAGATCCAGATCCTCAAACAAATCCCTAGAAGAGTAAGGGAGCAGAAAAGGGATTACAAATTTTTGGCTACACAGTTAAATAAGCGAGACATTCTATTTCATTGGTTGATCCCAGAAGGAATGTTGGTCTCTTGGGAAGAAAAGAAGATTAAAATAGATACTCTAGAAAAGGCGCAAGAATTGTACAAGCAACTAGCGGGCTTGGAAGATCAAAGTAGCAAAGAAGATCTAGACTCAAACTCTCAAGAAGAACAAGACCAATCAAAAAATAAAGAAGAAAAACAAGAAGTAAGAAAAACTAACCAGCAACAACAAGAAAGAGAAGACCTTAAATCAATGAACATAACCTAAAGGTAAATAAGAGCAATCAGGAGAAAAAGAACCAGATATAATTAGAACTATGGAAAAAGAGGTGAAACTTTTTAAAAATTCTATTGGTAGTAATTTACGCCCCTAATGCCAATCAAAAAGAATTCTATAAAGCTCTATATACTAAAATCATTGAACTGGAAAGGAAAAATATTTGTATTATAGGGGATTTTAAGCTTGTAGCAGATTATCAAAAAGATTATAATGGGGGGAATAAGAAAGGAAGGGAAAAAAAGAAAAGAGAACTGCCTAAAATTTGTGTAGAAATGATTAAAGAATTAAATTTAATAGACGTATGGAGAACATTAAACCCAGAAAAGAGACAATTTACCTTCTATTCAAACCTCCACCAGTCATGATTGCGCATTGATATGGCATGGATAAGTGGAGATTTAGTAGAAAAGTGACAGAAGTAGAAATTATACAGAATTCTTGGGCAGACCACAACCCTCTTAGAATCAATTGGAAAGGTAAGAAAAAATCAAGGAGAAGGTGGACTTTAGATTCTCAATTATTAAAGGATGAGGATTTTATAAAGAAACTTAAGGAAGAACTAAATTTTTATTTTAAAGAAAATAATAACCTAGACACAACTATCCAAAATTTATGGGACACCATGAAAGCATACAGGAAATTATAATATCTTATACTGCACAAAAAATAAAGAAAAACATGCTCAACAAAACAATTTAAATCAAACAATCAAGAAACTAGAATCCGAATTACAGGACGCCCCACAAAATGTTAAATTACAAGATCAATTGATTCTCTATAAACATAAAGTTAACTTAGTTGAACAGGAAGAATTGATTAGAAACTTGAAAGTAACTAAGCAAATATACTTTGAACAAGCAAACAAGCCTGTTAGATGGCTGTTTTATAAGCTCAAAAAAGAGAAAGAGAAAAGAACCATCTACCAACTACAAGATGAAAGTGGAAATTATCAACATACAATAGAGAAGAAAAAAGAGATTGCACATAAATATTTTGAGAAACTGTATAAGAAAGAGAGAGTAGATGAAGATCAGATAAGGGAATATCTAAGAGAAAAAGGAACTCAAGAAATTAACGATGAGATGAAAGAATTTTTGACGAAGGACATATCTTTGACAGAATTAAAACAAGCAATTAGAATCCAGAAACATAACAAAACCCCAGGCCCTGATAGTTTCCCAGCAGAATTTTATAGAGTGATAGAAGAACAAGTGGGACCAATAAAGGTGGATTTATATAATGACATATTAATCTGCTAAAATGCCAGGCATGTGGAGAGAATCATTTATTTCGCTAATCCCAAAGGGACTCAGATGTCAGAATGATACAAAACTATAGACTAATTTCTTTGCTGAATGTAGATTATAAAATATTTACTACCATTATTGCTACTAGATTAAAGAAAATTCTGAATGATTACATACATCCAGACCAAAATGGATTTCTCCCAAATAGACAAATTAGGAACAATTTAAAAATAATAATGGATAGTCTGGAATATTATGAAGCTCACCCGGAGGTAGCCCTTGTTTTCTTGGATTCTCAAAAAGCTTTTGACAACCTTTATTGGCAATTTATGATTCAACAAATTTATGACATGAATTTTGGCACCAAATTTGAGAATATTATAACAGCAATTTATTCAGTACAAAAAGCAAATATCATAATAAATGGAGAAAATACGCAAACTTTAAATATAGAGAAAGGAGTCCGACAAGGTTGTCTGCTGTCCCCTCTGCTCTTCATATTATTATGAGAAGTACTATTAGAAAGAGTGAGGCAAAATCCTGATATAAAAGGATTGAAAACTAGAAATGAAGAATATAAATTGCAAGCATTTGCAGATGATATGGCTTTTATTATTGAAGACCCAATAGAAAAAGGACAAATATTAATTAAGGAATTAGAAACATATAGAGCAGTGGCAGGATTGAAAATGAAACCTTTAGCAAAAGATTTAACAGATCTCAAACAATAGAATTAGAAAGAGCACTCAGACTTCAAACAACAAGAAAAATTAAATACCTGGGAATATGGCTGACAGCACACTGTAAGGCAATAAAGGTTAATTATAATAAGCTATTACAACAAACAAAAAAAGACTGAGAATTATGGATGAAAATGCAACTGTCATTACTAGGAAGAATAGCAGCCATAAAATGTCTATATTACCAAAATTTCTTTATCTATTCCAAACCATTCCAGTTAAATTAGAAAAGACCTTTTTCGATAATCTTAATAAAATGACAGCAAAATTTATTTGGCAGGGTAAAAAACCCAGAATAAAAATGAAACTATTAAAAGATATGAAGAGCAGAGGAGGCTTTGGATTGCCAAATTGGGAATTATATTATAGTGCAGCAACATTAGTTTGGCTAATTAGATTAGATTAATTTAAAGAATAAAAGAATATTAGCTATAGAAAGTCATGGTCTTCAAAGAGGATGGCATGCTTTTCTTTGGGACACAGGACCCACCAAACAAAAATATTTCCACAGAGATCTGATTAGAGATTTGCTGATATACAACTCAATCAAAGTTAAAAAGAAACTGTCAGCTGGTGCTCCATTCAAAATCCAAGAAAGAAATACTTAGACTCCATTATTTAGAGAAAATATATCTTTTACTGGAAATCAAGTGGTAGCAACAAAAGAATTCTGAATCTGAGAAAATGGGCGCGTAAATCACATATACAAAGTGATGGCAACGTTCCCACCCCCAATAGTTCAATTGGCTCATCCAATTAAAAGTTGTGTATATCATCATGTGGGCATCTCCAGGTAGTGATGAGGCCTCTGTCCGTTGACCTTGACATATTTTGAAAAAGAGTTGCAGCTGCACATAGCATAGGATAGAAGCCTAAGCAAGAATCTACCCCTCCAGCTTATACAGTTCTGTTTTGTAACACCTCCAGCTCACTTCCCATAACCATATCCCCCCTCCTCCCCCCGTTACTTATGACAGCCGAAAGATTCAAAGCAAGGGGAGAAAATCTTGAAGGCTGACATTCAGCCCTCCTGCAAAAGAGACGTTAATCTCAGAAAAGATAAAAATAGAAGGTAACAGAAAATATACATGTAACACCATAATACTATTTTTTAGGGTTTATCAGGATACTTAGTACGAAATGCCTTGATAAGCTTAGGAGCTCTAATGTCCTTCTCATTCACCCATTCAGACTGGGAAGGAGGAAAATGTTTCCAAACAATCAAATATTGGAGTTGACCCCTTTGTTTTCGAGAATCCAAAATTTCTTTAACTTCAAAATATTGTTCACCTTCAATTAGCAATGGCACAGGAGGATCCCCCTGAGTTGGTCTCAAGTTGTTCTTAACCAACACCAGATGTTCTGCACTAGCCACCATTGTTTGTCATTGACCAAGATAATGAGAACTGATAGCAGTAGAAGTCCAAAACACATAGTCCAAAACACTATGCCTTCTGCAAAGTTGCAAATCTATTGGGTTTGTGATGAGCAATTTTAAGACAATATAAAATATTTTGAAAAGTGCAATATTAGGCTCTATCAACAGAAGTATAGTTTTCAAATCATAGGAGGTAATGATTCCCTTTTATTCTGTATTAATTCTACATCACTTTGAATATTGCATCAGATTCCAGCCACCCTCTTTAAATAAAGTTTTAGATAAAGTGGAATAAATTCAGAGAAGCACAGAAATGATCAAAGGCTAGATATAATATCATATGCAATGTTTTATAGAGATGGGATGTTTTGCTTTGGAAAGAGAAAACTGAGTGAAATTTCTGAAAGGATGCCATACAAAAGAAAATCAGGAACATTCTCCATTTTTCTAAATGGTAACAAATAAAATAATGAATTCAAATAACAGGGAATGTGATGTTGAATGTAACAACGAACTTCTTAACAGTATGAGTTTAGTTTACTTTATTGTCATTGCACCTTGTATAATGAAATCAAACACCATCTTCAGTGCACATCATGACCATGACCATGAAAATAAACACAAACAGTTGGACACTGGAACAAAATACACAGAAAAGTGGCAGCTTCCTTTGACTGGATGTGTTCAAACAGAGGGGAGAAAGTCATTTGTCAGGGATGCTATAATTTGGGTTCCTGCTCTGAATAAGGCATTGAATTCAGTGGCCAAGTGGCCCATTGCAACTCTATGATTTTACAGCTAGGTAAACACTGAATTCAATAAACCTTTGTGGAAGTTGTGATGAGTTAAAACAAAGGAATAATGAGCTACATCATTGACATCCAATAAACCTGGAACAATTCCTTGCAGATTCTCTTGCTTAGGTCCAGGGTGGAATTCAAATTTCTTAACAACCGGTTCTGTGGGCATGGTCTAATTTGTGGGTATGCCTTGGTGGTCATGTGACTAGGTGGGCATGGCTTGCTGACTGGGCATGGTTTGGTGGTCATGTGACTGGCTGGGTGTAGCTAGGTGGTCATATGATTGGTTGGGCGTGGCTTGGTGGTCAGGTGACTGGGGTGGGCATGGCTAGGTGGCCATGTGACTGGAAAACCAAATATAAATGGTCCTCACTTAATGGCCAGTTGCTTAGCAAGTGTTCTAATTTAGGACTAACCTCCCCAGAGCTACTTGACCTATTTTTGGTGTTTTGACAGCCATGCACGTGCACACACACACTTATGATCAGTTACAACATCCCACACAGTCTTGTGACTGAGCTTTTCTATGTTTTTTGCCAGTTTCCAACAATTCCTTCTGGTTTCCGGTTAAAAATGCCCATTGGGGAAAATGGACTTCTTCAACAACCCAAGCGTTTGCTTAAGGATACACTTAACGACCATGGTGTTTGCCTAACCTGGGGTTTGCAATCTTAAACACTCAAAGAGCCATTTTTCTATTTTCTTTTAAACAGGTATCTCTCTCTCTATGTGTGTGTGTGTGTCTTTCTCCCCCCCCCTCTTTCTTTCTTTTCTTTTCTTTTCTTTTCTTTTCTTTTCTTTTCTTTTCTTTCTTTCTTTCTTTCTTTCTTTCTTTCTTTTTCTTTCTTTCTTTCTTTCTTTCTTTCTTTCTTTCTTTCTTTTT